AGAAAACAAAACCAATGGATAGCAAAAGCCTAGGAGGGAAATATAGGGAACCGCCATGCAAAAGAAGATATAGATAACAGGCTACCACAATGGCAAGAGTCAGCAGTTGGTAGAAGCTTTCCCCAGGATGGCACCTAGACCAAAATCCCACGAAAAACAAAATCAATAACAACAACACAACACCAGATAACTTGAAACCTCCCAAAGATACTAACCAAACAACTGGCATCAAAGAATGGAAATGATTAAATATCTTATTCCGAAGGATGATTCTCCAAGAAGCAGCTAATCACGCGAACACAAACATCAGAGAAATTTTAGGTACAGGAAAGGCATAGAGTAAGAAAGACCAAGAAGAACAAGAACACATCCTGATGACCTAGGAGCCCCAGGGCCCAAGCCAATGGCCCTAGCTTGGAAGGAATCAAGAGAAGGGGGTACGTGACCAAACTCCCACAGGATAATCACACCCCAACTAGCCAATACAAGACCTAGAAGTAGAATAGCATCAACTATTGAACCCCCGATACCTACCTAAATGATGTAGATGTCTCCAACACATCAAACCAAATATGTATGCACTGAAAATTTGGAACGAACAAGTATCAATATACTTTCGTACAAACGGCAAACAAAAATGCACTGATCGTCCGTGCCTCATAACAATAAAATCATGGAAGAAAACACAATTGTAACCCCCAAGGGCTCAAAATTCCCCCCAGACAAACATCTCAACTAGGTTAGTAGGGCTACAACTCTGATCATGACAAACAAGAGGCTTTAAAGGATCATAACCTTTCCCTCGAAACATATAAACTCCCAGACTACAAGGTGACGATCTTGGTATGGTTTAGATGAAAAGGGCCAAAGTGCAACTGTCCTTAGCCCGGGGCATAGAAAAGGCCCTAAAACAAAGTCCTTTAGTTAAAAAAAAGGATGTTCTAATGAAGCAGACGAGCTAAGACCGCACCTAAAAGCCAGCCAAATCCTCACACTACGAGGCCCGACCAAAGGATGAACGACAGGCTCGGATGCTATGGGTCACAAAAACTCGTCAAAACAAATAACATCCACCCCTAAAAGGGCGACACCAACCTCTGGGAAGAATGCAAGCCAAAGATGGCCAGCATAAACCATCAAACACAAGGACAACACAAAAAATTTGTGTAACAGACCAAAAGAAAGGGAATTTAACAAACACAAAATAAATTATCTACCCAGACAACCCCGCAGGATTTGGACAAATACCACACACGGCCAAATAAAAGTAGTGAAACATTGTTTAAGTACCAAACAAACATAAACATTGTCTTGAAATATTCAAAGAAGAAATAAAAGCCATCACTTACTAGTGGAAGCACCAGCATGAGAAGAAACACCTTTGACCTGACTATCATCAGCACCAGAATCATCACACAACTGGCCAAGGCCATCCCTGTCGAGCTCGCCCAGGCGGAGGTAGAAGAAAAAGTATGTCTCCATAAATGCTTTTACAGCAGGGTGCATCACCTAAGTATGCTCTATGGTAGCAACTTCCTCCCCATGGACAATCTTCTCAGTTACAACTTTTTCCTAGACCTCCTATTTTCCATTCTCTACACCGGCGGCCAGGCATGCCATCTTCATCTGCTTCACCCCATCGCAAACTCATAACTTTCAACCACCTTGTCTAGCATACATACAACTCCTTTTTGAAGCCGTCGCCCAAGATCATCCTCCACACTCTTCCTCCTCGCTAACTCTTCCTCGTATTTCCTATTAGCATGATCTATGTGGTCCTCAAACACCTTCTTCTATTCCAATAACACCTCGATACGCTGGAAAAATGCTCCAATAACTCATCCAAAGCAATGCCCTTGTCCTCCTGAGATAACTTCTCCCCTGACAAGAGACCATAGTGCTCCTCGAACGAACGCTTATCCTCTTATAATGATGGAAGCTTGGCTCTCAAATCATCTCTCCCAACTCTCATCTGAATGAGCTCGCCAAAATTAGAATCACCCTAGCGAAGGAGAGACGAAATCACAGCCATATATAAACCAACCTTGGCAGCCGCATATAAGAGACTGTTAGAAAGATGAGTGTTCAAGAGAAGCTATAAGGCTTAGATGGTAGAAAGGGAAAATTGTGACGACCCCAATCGTATGCCACCATGTGCTATGAAAGGCGAGACTCCCGAGTTATCCCCTATATGGGCATGTACACAATCAACATTGCCTGAGGAACATAAGTAGATCCCTCAGCAAGGTCTCCTCTAGCTAAAAGTAAAACTAGCGATCTGGGAGCACCTTCATGATCGGCTTTCTAGTCCACACCAAAAATGCTTTAAGTAGCAGTATCCACCAGTTCTTCATTGGGTTCACGTGTCAGGTTTTTCGTCCCTTCTTTCATCGCCTCCGACTATTTCAAAGTTTCATCATTGGGGATATCCAAAACTACTGTGTCTTCCCTAGAAGGAAGTCCACATTCCGCCTATTCAGAAGGCATTGTCTTGCGGAGCCGGTCTTGGTAGACTCTACCTGTAGCGAATCCAGCTAGGAAAGTCTCCACTTAGAGGCCGTGAGGGTCCTTTGCTGGACTAGCCCAATTGATGGCTCCTTCCCCTCAATATCAGAAGGCAGGGGTCTTCATGAAAAAACACCACTGAAAGGTGCGCCGATCAGCACCTGGCCAGAGGGTGAGTTGGACCCAGGAGAAGAGGTAACAGGAGGACTGGCGAGAGCCAAAGCACAGTCAAGACTGACCAACGGAGGAAGCGTCTAAAATAAGGGCACCTCCTGATATTCAAGGGTGGCCTAAAAATGGCCCCTTAATACCATCTCTAAGGGAAGAATCCTCTCATAATCTGCAAGCGAGGAAAAGTATGTAAGTCCCAAATCACTAAATCTTAACAATATCAATCTTAATTGCTTAAAGAAGGCAAAATATTAATCAAGCAATGATTCAAGAACACACAAATATAACTTTAAATGCACACGATTCTATTAAGTAAATCGTTTGGTACATACGAACTCAAAGTAGCTGAAAATTAATGAATAGAACAACTAGACTCCTAGTACAGCTAAACATATATATATATATATATATATATATATATATATATATATATATATATATACACGCCAAGTACAACGCCACAAAGGCCCAATCCCATCATGACCGAAAACACCAAAGTGATTTAGGTCCCCTAAACCAAAAACTCAATATGCCCACTAAAATAACATATCTAAGCCTAAATAAATTATAAGCCCCACATAAACCATTAATTATGACCCAACAATCTCCCCCTTGGTTTATTGATGGCTAGCTTTATGGTTTCTCTACAAGATGAACGTCAGAACCAGTTAATGCTCCTGCCCACAACTTCTGATCAATGATTTTCGCAATCATGCTTGTAAATTCCTTTGCAACAACTTCAAAAACTTCACACTCCACTATAAGCTGATGCATGGATGACGTGTGAATGTCATGCTTACCAAGTCTCAACAAATCCCTAGGATCAAAAAAGTGAAACTGATCCTTTTTCGTTTTGATCACCACAGTTATTGTTGCCTCATCATATACCCAGAATAGAATATCATTCAAAGAACCATCAGGTATAGGCTGAGAGAGGGATCTTTTTCGTTTTCTTTGTAGGCGGCCTCATAACATTTATCATGGTTTCATTGGTGCGGGATCGATAACATCCTTGACCTTTTTGATGAATATGGCGTTGTTGTCACGCCTTCAAAGTTATCCTTCGATTTGTCTTCTAGAAAAAAAATTAAATGCCCATGCATTGGGTTCATTTGTAGGATTGTGAAAATGAGTGTGGACCAACTCTACAAGATCAACTTTTGTCCAAGAAAAAAATCAACCTTCTTCTCATAGTATTCAATGTTTCCACTCCTCCGTTTCACAACCCACATTTTCTTGTCAGCTTCAAATCCCCACATGCGATACCGGAATGATCCTCATATCTATCAGCAAATTTTCTTTTTCCAACATCCTTGATAAACATCTGAGGTTGATCACTAGTTGCATTTTGATCAGAATTCTTCATCAGAAGCATTTTATCTTTCTTCAACACTTCCATTTTCTTCTGTTTATTCCTTCTCTCTTCAACTGTAACAGGGCCAGAAGATAAATATCGATCAATGTTGGAATCTGGAGTTGGACTAATCACCACCCATTCAAATGTCTCAGGAACCTTTCCATCATCAAAACCAGACATCTTGAATTCATCACCAAACTTTCTAAATAGTTTGTGTTTGAGATCAAAGTAAAAGGTTGTCAGTCTGCTAAGGTTGGCTTGAAGTTCAGAGATTTATTTATTATTCTTAGATTTCTCCTTTTCATGTTCTGAAACTCTCACATCCAACTTCCCAATTAACAGATCCATTTCAATGGATTCTTGTTTCAAAATTAGTATCTCTTGTCTAGGCTTAGAGATGGTTTGTTAAGAGTCTTCATCACCTCCTTTTTCTGAGCTAATATATATACCCTTTCCTCTTGACTGAGGAACAAAGTAGTGAAAAAGCAAGAAGTTTAGCTAGCTTAATAGATGTAGCATAGTGATCTGGAAGTGGTGGACCAGATTAACTTCCTGAGGAAAAAACTTCTTCATTAACCAAGAAGTCTTCATCAAAGATTGGCCTTTATTCATCTTGATTAGTCTGGGTTGGTTCAACAATAGCACTTTGAACATCTTCATGAACCTGGGCTAGTTCAACGATTGGGATTTGAACAACTTCACAAACCTAGGTTGGTTCAACTATAAATGCTGACTGTTGTATTGGCTCAGTGATAAGCACTCCCGACCTTGGATCTCTCTGTCTTCTCTTCTTTGGCACCAAGGAGGAATTTGGTTTGTCTTTATCACTCTCAGATGGAAATTCAACAGTAATAGAAACTATTTGGGGAGGCTTCCTTGTAGTTGACCGTAATTCTTTAATAAGCGCTTCCATCTATTTGGGCATTGGAATATTCGGTTGGTTGGAAATATTGATTATAGACTCTGTCTAAGTTGGAGTAATCACAACTTCATTGACTGGCTCCTTCGGTGGAACAAATAGACGAAAATTCACATCATCAATATCATTGAAATCATCATCATCATCAGAAACTTCAACCGAAAAGCTGAGATTTGACTTTGATGGTGTCACATGTTCTTTTGCCACTATAGAAATTAGAGTACTAGTAGCTTGGACACCTTTTGTCTCTGCAAATTTTCCAAATTTAACCAACTCCTTCAATCCTTGAAATACGACTTTGGCTGATTTTCTTGATTGCTTCATGAGCCGAAAGGTGTTGGGACCCAAGAATTTCATATCCAAATTGTTAGATGAGCTCTCAATTTGGGGATATTTTTCATTGAAGATCATTTGAAGGTACCTGGGATACATCAAGAACAGGTCCTTCTTCTTCCCCTAATGGTTGCTTTTCATTTCTTCAAATACAAACTTCATAAAGTTGTAATCCCAATCCATTACCAGAGATATAATGGTTGAGGTTGCAGTATGACTAATTTCATCAACTCTTCCCTTCCTTCTAGTAATGCAAATCACAAAGCCATGTGCCAAAAACCTCCAGAAAGGTGGCAGTAGTTTCTTGATGGTGGAAGGATAGGTTCCTTCATAACATATCTTCTCAAGGGCTCCCTTCACTTTATCAACAGTATACACAATTGGAAATGTAGAGGCATTAACAAACTCAAGTACATCTCAGATAATTTGCTCAGAAACAATTACTTGAGTTCCCTTCACCATTGATTCAATAGTACCAGCTCCATCTGCTCCATGCTTGTTGATTGAAGCATTCTTCCAAAACTCAGTAATTAGGTCCTTGTAGATGACTGGATTAGAATGCAAGGCATGGGAAATCCCGCAATTGTCAAACTCATGATCATGGATTTGAATTCATTATGCACGATGGGTGGATCCAAAAGATATCCTACGATATTGTGAGTAGCAACAAATTTTGACTGCTCCACTATTTATCTACACCAAACAAGTTAAGTGAGAACAATAAATTATAATTATAATTAAAATTAAAATTTATTTTTTCACTTGATTTAAAGTTTGATCGATTATTGTAGATTTCGTTCAAGGTCACTACTTTATGCATTTTTGGTCAAGGTCAAGGGTTTCATCATTTTCGTTCAACTCATATTTGACCAAACGTTTTTGGTCAACCATGTTGTTTTCGGTCAGATTAATTGGTTTTCAGTCATATGGAACATTTTCGGTCAAAGCAAAGTGGTTTTCTGTCAGATCCAAATCAAACCGAAAACCCGAGAAAACCACGTCGGAAACTACCGTCAACCACATCGAAAACTCCATTAAACACCTGCAAACACTTCGAAACAACATAAAACTAGAAGCATGATGTTTGAACACTGTATACCTAGAGAAGATTTCAAGAAATCAAGTGACATTTGATGATTTTAAACCGAAGATGAATGAGCTTTTGTTCGATGAACAGCAAGAGATTTCGCCGAGGGTTTTGAGAGAAAAACAAAATGATTTCAGTGTTGATGCGAAAAATGAAACGGAAAAATGCTTTTATAACCCAAAAATTGACTTATTGGCCTTTTGGGCCACCAAAATTGATGGGCTTCATTTATATGATTTTAATTCATTTCAGAGATAAACAAAATAGTAAAATTAAATTTGAAATAAAATAAAATAAGTGTCAAACAAAAATAAAATTTAAAATTTCAATAATTTAAAAATGAAGACAAATAAAATATGCCAAATAAAACTAAAAATAAATTGAAAATAAAATAAACACATCTTAATAAATAAATTCAACCATTTTGGGATTAAAAGTTGTCGTGCAATTTAATAACGTTTATCAGCACACACAAGTATAAATAACTCTGTTCAATCACTAATGTTATGGCCACTTAAACACAAAGTATATTGACAAATTAGACTGATTATAAATGACAAGACATTGTGATTATATTCCTAAATAGACCATTTTACTGATGACAACCAAAGGTAATGTTGTCCACCTAAATTCAGCAGCGACATCTACAGTCAACCTTTATTCATCAACCAATTAAATTTTAAGCTCACTAGAACGTGTTCCCCAGTTCACGACATACCCTAGCAATCAAGGAATTCCAAAGAACTCTTTACTTTTAGTTGAGTGCTTAAGTATTTGAGAGAGAAGATGGATATAAAGATGCATATGTTGTATCCCAGGTCGATCTCTTCCAATCACACAAAGGGAACGACATATGTTTAACATAGATAGAGGGTTAGAGAGATAGAAAGGTGCATATGTTGTGTCCCAGGTTGGATCTTCCAATCACACAGAGGGGACAACATATGACTGACATATAGATAGAGATGTATAGAAATAGAGGTGCATATATTGCGTCCCAGATCAGATCTTCCGATAAAGAAAATGGGGGCAACATATGACTGACAGAGAGGATAAGAAAGAAAAACAACTTCACACATAACTACTATATCAGATACCCCCATTTACCCTATCAGCACTAGAATTAAGGACATTAGTTCGTACATCGAATAAATGTTGACCCACAATTCTATATGATAAGTAACTTTAATGTATCTTGTAGGCTCCCTTGTTTATCTCACAACTCAATCTATCCAAGTGTCGTATGGTCAGTCCAAATGAGACTATCTAAGTCCAGATGAGTTAACATTGTCAAGTCCTTTTAATGTCAGCAGTTTCTAGTCCTTTTATTTTGAAACTTTTGTGCCTACCAGCACATTGAACACATAGTCTAAAGAATTTAGCTTCAGTGCATTATACGAATTTCAGAATGCCCTCAACACTAAACTTCATATCACTTCCCAAGAATACTTACGAAAGAAAGCATATTTTTGCATTTTTAATTTTGAGTTTTTTTTTCTTTTTGTATTTTGTATTTCTCCCCCTAAATTTGTGCATGGAGAAGAAGTTAAATAAATAAATGTTCAAATTTAAACACAAAGAAAATAATAAAAATAGAAATTTAATCTTCGAAACGAATCGTTTTTAGAAAACCAACAGGTACATCGAAACAAATCCGCCACGTTGTTATCAGTGTGAACATGTTCTAAACGAATGAGTTTGTACCCATAACAGTCTTGAATAAAATGAATTTTAATGTCAAGGTGCTTGGTTTTGGAATGTTGAACCAGATTTTTAGCAATTTGAATGGCCGCATCATTATCACAAAAAATGGAAGTGTCAAATAAGTTGGAACTGTAATCGAACAATTGGTATTAAATCCAGATAACCTGAAAGTAGCAAGCTGAGGCGATAACGTATTCAGCCTCAGTCGTTGAGATCGAAACCGTTTGCTATTTCTTGCATTTCCATGACACCAATCGATCCCCTAAAAACTGACATCCACCTAATGTAGATTTCTTGTCAAGATCATACCCTCCATAATTGCTGTCAGCAAAAGCATATAAATCGAAATCGCCATTTTTAGGATACCAAAGACCTATTTTAGGGATACCTTTAAGGTACCTAAAAATTCTCTTAACAATAATTAAATGGTAAAGTTTAGGATTAGCCTGATAATGAGTGCATTGACAGACGACAAACATGATGTCAGGTCCAATGGTAGTCAGATACATCAGAGATCCGATCATTGATCGGTATTTAGTTTGATCAACGGATTCCCCATCTGGATTTATAGTCAACAGTGGTCTATCTGCCATTGGAGTTGAAACGATTTTTGAATCTTTAAAACCAAACTTTTCTAGCATGTCTTCCACATTTTTGCCTTGATGCAATAAAATTCCAGTCGAATCCTATCGAACCTGTAACCCTAGGAACATTTTCATCTCAACTAGCAAGATCATCTCAAATCTTTTTTCATTACATCCTCGAACTCTTTGCATAGCTCTATGCTGGGCGACCCATAAATGATGTCATCTATGTGGATTTGTACGTCAATCAAATCTATGTCCACTTTCTTAATGAATAATGTCTGATTGATCGTTCCCCTTGTGTGTCCATGCTCAAGCAGATGTTTAGTTAGAGTAGCATACCAAGATCTATGAGCCTGATGTAAACCATATAAAGCCTTATCTAGTTTATAGACATTATTTGGAAACTTTGGATTGATAAACCTTGGTGGTTGATCAACATAAATCTCCTCCTTCATGACTTCATACAAGAAGGTTGTCTTAACATCCATTTGATAAACTATAAATCCCATGTAGGAAGCACATGCTAGGAATATATGAATGGCTTCCAAACGTGCAATAGGAGCATACACTTCGGTGTATTGAAGACCCTCTATCTGCATAAATACGTGAATTCCAATGAGCTTTTTTGCGCATAATAACCCAACTATAATCTTGCTTATTTCTAAAAACCCAATGAGTGTCCAAAAACTTCTTGCCCTTTGGTAGCTCCACCAACTGCCATACTCTCAGCTTCTCAAATTGATTCAGTTCTTCATGCATTGCATCTACCCAAATGGGTTCATTTAATGTCATTTCCTTATTGTTTGGTTTAATTTGGGAAATGAAGCAAGAGTATAGACACTCATTGACATCTCCTCTTTGACTTTTGGTATGAACTCCGCTTTCTAGTGGACCAATAATGTTCTGAATAGGATGATCGTCTTGAACTCTGGTTGGGATAGGATGTTTGATATCATTTACTATGACTAGAAGATTTTGTTGGATATAGTGTCTAAGTCCATAACTATATTTGGTATGTACTTGACCCGACCCGGCATGGTTCATTTGGGTTGCACTTCATGTAACATACATATTTTAAAATAGTGTTTTGTAATGAATAAAATTGTGAAATATTATGTAAAATTGAGTGTTGAGTTTTAACAGATGGTTTTTTATAGAAATGAAGTAAAACTATGTTTAGAATCACTCAAAAAATATTGGAAGTCTTATGAGATTCCAATTAAAATCCAAATAGTGAAATTTAACAAAAATATGAAATTTTAAATAAGTAAAATTTTATTATTTGATGTTGTAGAGAATCTCGTTAGAAATTTGTGGGCGAAAACCTCATCAAAATCCGAGTTATAACGAAGAAGTTATGACCAACCGAAGATCAGCGACAAAACCGGCACGGCGCCGAATGACGTAATAAGTGAGTTTTTTTTGATAAACTACTTTTTAGCTTTAGTAATCTAAATGAAAGTCCTAGTATTTGTTAAACCAAGAAATTTGATAAAAAGAATGCCAAAATCTGACTTCGTATAAGGAAGTTATGATTTATCAAAGTTTCAACTTAGTAGTAGACAGCTAAAAACTCGAATTTTAGATCGAGCGATATTTTACCGATACATCCTAAATGAGAATCGAAGGTCTCGTCATATGTAGTACAACGGTAAAAAGTCTGATGAAAACAGATGTTGAATGAAGAAGTTATGAATTTT